TCCATCAATCCAAACATATTGTGCACGTCGAGCTCTGCATATCCGCCGGAGTGGGTCGCATTCGTTGCCATAGTGTTGCGGTTAAGGGACCCGATAGCTTTACTCCGAGTCGGATCAAAGCCGTGTTATAAGACGAATGAAACTTACCATTATGGATAGCATATGGCGGGCTGTTGAGATTGACACCTTTCTCGCCACCAGCGCCGACGCCGCGTTTCACAACCGCGGTCGTAGTGGTTGAGCTTGTTGTGCATGAATTCGTAGAGGTGCCGTTGATGGTCATATTCCCACTAGGTCCCCATTTCGTCTCATTGTAGCTTTATCCATCATCATTAGTAATATTCATCAGCTCAACTCAAGACAGCTGCTTCACCATTCGGGGTACCCAGTGACGACCGTGCCAGCCACGTTCATGGGAGCAAGGGCAGAGTAGTTCGCACCTGTCCCACTTCTCGCCAGTTAGCTTCAAACCAAAAACACGCTATCTCGCCTTACCAGGAATCACTACAGAATGAACTTGGTTCGTTCATGTCGAGCCAAATACCGGAAAATTCGACCCCAATTTCAGTCCAGTTTCTAAGAGCTTCGGTCCATACGGAGAGTATGTTTTCACTGAACCAGTCTGGGTAGACCTAAAAGCACGTTTAGTCGTCAGTTGTATGAGGTGTTCCACATGTCACGAGTGACGAACGGTATATCCAGGCCAGACTTGACCAAGGTACAGAGACCCATCTGGATTTTTGATCCACACATCTCTGTAATGCATTTAGCGCTTTAGCCCGTTATCAGGCGCAAAGAACTGACTCTTCAACGCCCCGTGTGAAAGGATCATACTAAATGACGATGCGGTCAGGAAACATACGACTTTAGCAGCATGTCAACAAACTTACGATGTCAGTCGAATTTACTGTGATAGCGATACCTACATCCGTGATGGGGATATCTAATGACGAGATCGATCAGAATTGGGAGGGAAAGAGTGAAAGTGCACTTACAATGTTGATTATTCGTGGCCTTTCACTTGAGTGAGAACTGGGAGAACCTATGTGGAGAAATGCTCACCAAATCTCGAATGAACTGCGCGAAGTTCATCCCCAGGGAAACTTACTGGGTCAGTGGTAAAGTCGCGGTAAGCGTGGTACAAGTCGATATCGTTCCATTGAACTAGCGGAAAGTAAGGATCACGAGCAACAAACGTCCAAAATGGAGCAAACCTTCCAAGGGGATACCCGCTGCGCGCATCTGCGCAACATTTTCTATGTCATCACTTACATTGTGGTATCCCCATCTGTATGACTTAAGTGAGTCTATTATACGCAGATTGCAATACAGAGAACATCACCTGCAAAGGTGGAACCCGAAGCCCCATGCTGGTTGCCACATAGGGTACCCAATGACTGAACCGTACTGAGCAATTACTTCTGCGTCTGAGGGTCCAGAGAAGAAGTAGAAATCCATAATACCACCGATCAGACGGTACTCAATTAATGACACCTTAGAGTTCGGGGGCGTCTGCAGGAAGATATCTGAACCCGCGGCACTAAGGAATGTTATTAACAGATAGAAACATGATTTAGTTGCAGTCGTATACTTAAGCAGAAGAACACCAGAGGCAGAGGCCTTTCCAGTGGTCGCATTGTACCGATGTTCGACGTAGATTGGATGGGAGCCATACCTAAACACGATCGTGAATCGTCACGTGAGAATGATCTCTAACCATGTGACCTACATGTTTTGATCAATGGGATCTGCAACATCGCGAGCCCAATGCGTCTGAATAGTGCCTACGCCCCCATCCGTCCCAATGTCGCGTCTAAATCCACTACTAGCAATGACCTCGCCCAAACCGTAGATGTTGGTGCCATACGGCAGAGCAGAAGCAACCTGATAACCGTAAGCTATATTGACAGCCTCAGCAGAATGATGGATGCACACCTGGAGGTATTGATCTTCAAATACAAGGGGGAAACCATCAAACGCCGTGCTTGTGTCAGATGCATTGAAAGGTGGAATAGGAGTCGGTGGTAATGATGAAGTTCTCGTGTCGAACAATGGCATTGCGCCCGGATCAGAGCGTCGTGTGACCCAAAATGCAAAAGGAGCTGCATTAAAGTTGAATAAAAGATCGGAGTTACCCGTGTAGGATGTCGTTGGCGCGGCAGGCCGTTCGATCACCGACTCGGGGATTGTGAATTGCTGGTTTGCAGTATCATAAATCTTGACATGTAAACTAAAACCAGCCATCAGCGCTGCACCTGAAAACCTCGGGAATCAATATACGTGGACTGTGATTGATAAATGACTTCGATTGTGAGGTTCGAAATGTCTTGTCCAAAAGCATTGCATGCTGGTCCAGCGAGTGTGAGCTGAGCGGTGAGACCAATGTCAGACTCGTGAAGTGACCCTAAAATGTAGCCTGAAACCTGCCATTGTCAGTGACAACTCCACAAAGTTTCAACTGTATTCCCACCTGGACAATCTGTGACATTCATAGAGTAACTCGGCGTTCCTGTGCCATTGGAAGCGAGCTTGTTCCCCAGTGTAGCACGCTGAGAAACATCTCCCCAGGCTGTAGGCGCTAGGGTGTACAGGACACCCAAAAGCAAGGAGAACATGACAGTGAACCTTTGAGAACGATAGTACCGTCGCTGATGATGAACTTCACTAATCATCAATGATGGGTTGTATTTATACTTTTGCTCGATATCCCCCCCCTGGGGCCGGGCCTTACGTGGGCCTGTCGCAGCGGGACTTCGGGCGGCATAATGTATATCAACTGTGAGAGAGAAATAGGTCAATGACGTACGGACCCGTATGACAAGTCCTCGTGCCACATCACGAACCCACAAGACTAGCTGGCCGGACTCCAGAGCGCCGACTACCTCACTTAAGAATAGATCATCAATGTCGGTTCAGTAAGTCTGCTTAAATTTGTAGTCCATCATCAATTCCAACCTGATTGAGTCAAAGCGGAATTTGAGCTACATACTAGTCGCGTGCCGGTGAATGCCCGACGAGGCGAGAGCGGGAAGTTCTGTCGAGATTAAATTTACAGTCAAGCTTCAGGCTGTGATTTTAGGCGCTGGTACATTTTCATGATGTGTATAGTTTATCCCCTGGCCAGCACCTGCAATGTTGAATGGAGTCTGAGGCTGAGATTTAGTTTATCCCAACATCATACGTAAAACTCCGAAACTAGCTGAACACGGCAAATTCCCTCACGCGCAACATACTACTACTTTTAAAGTGTAGGTTCACGCATATGTGCCTGGACCATTGGTCTTCGAAGCGCTGTATTCGACCTTCAAGCTTCAAGCTTCAAGTTTCTTAAGGTCCACCATTTTACGATAGTGAACGCAGTTCGTGCCCTTGGCCCGAATTCAGGCGGTCTAGAAGACGCGTTCATTGCCGCAGTCCGTCACAGTACTGGTATTTCAAGTTCCCGGAAGTATCCTGCAGCTGATTTTGCTATTCAATCCATGCAATGCACCTAGGTGACCCTTAGCCGCCTATCACAGCCATTTGCAGACGCTAGGCCAGTCCAACATAAGTCGGCAAAAGTCAAGATCGCGTTTCTACCACAGGACTTCGCAGCAAGCTGTTTTATTTTTGGCCTATGGCCCTAGTCACGGTGTCCTACAAACAGTTGTAATATTACTGCTTGCAACTCATGTACATGACACATCGGGGTGAACAATATTTAAAAGAGGTTTATATGTTGTACAAAATGTGAAAACAATATTTGATATTTAAACTAACATAAAGATGGGTGCACAACTTCAAATTTTGGTGGTGTTTTGTGTGTCATCCAAAATATCAAATATTCACAACCATATTCCCACAGACAATATGTCAACAAATATAATAAATATAATCAGATTTTCCATGTCTGCTTCAATTTAAAGTTTGATTCTTACATAAAACTTTGGAGAAAACTTGAAGTTTTGCCAAAGCTTGACATTTAAATCGAGTTTTAATGTCATGTCATCTGTAAAACTTCAAGTTTTCTCCAAAGTTTTACATGGAAATTGAACTTTAAGTTGAAGCAGACATGAAAAATCTGACTATATTTCTTATGTTTATTGACATATTGTCTGTGGGAATATGGTTGTGAATATTTGATATTTTGGATTACACACAAAACACCACCAAAATTTGAAGTCGTGCACCCATCTTTATGTTAGTTTAAATATTAAATATTGTCTTCACATTTTGTACAACATATAAACCTCTTTTAAATATCGTTCACCCTGATGTGTGAACAAACTCGCGTATCGGTCGGCATGCGGGCCAATACGGTACTTTCCTGGCAGCGGCCTTACTGCGATGCATCATATTGAGACTCTCAGGCCATCTCGAATTCTGATTTAACGGCTTCGAAACGATAAATGAATCCCGTAGTTCCGTAGTTTCCGTAGCGCGGCATGGCGTGAGTCCACTGCGGTTTATGATAAGTATCGAATGTGTATTTAGTAGGATGACAGGAAAATGTACTACCCACAAGTTGCGTTGCGGTCGACAACTCACCAGTATGTTTGTTTGGCACAAGCTTATTGTAATTCCAACTTGAAGTCTGTGAATGAACGACTCAAACCCTCTTACTTCTTCGTCATTCTGTTTTCGACATGCCCAAAAAGAGCAGCGTCACGATTGACCACGAGATTGAAGTCTTGCAGGCTCAAATCGCTATTCTGCAGCGTCGTGAGGATGACTTCGTCCGTATTTTGGAGGACATGGCCCGTCTCAGAGACTCAGTCAAGGCCGAGCAAGTGGCACTTGCATCTCAAATAACGGAGCTAGAGAGTCAGAAAATCCAATCAACTGGTTGCCCTCGGAGTTGCTGATTCAAATCTTTGTCTCTGTGACGGAGGACGACTTAGACACCTCAGCGGGTCTCGCGTACAATCCATCGCCCGTCATTATATCACACACATGCCGGAAATGGCGCAAACTCGCATTTGCCACTTCTATCCTGTGGTCGCATGTTTCTTTCAGGAGCAGAAAGTGGTCCGCGTCTCCAGTATCCGCGTTCATAAATCGCTCCGGTTCTAGTCTGATCGACCTCACATTCTCTCCTCCACTGTATGATGTTGATGACCATGACGCTGCTGAGGACGAGCGACTGGCATCTGAATGTCTACTCCACACGCTGAGCTTTCACCTCTCTCGTGTGCGCTCTATCACCTTCGAGTGCACATCCTCTGCCAGTATGGGACTCATTGTGGAACTACTCATAGATAGCCTTCACGAATTAAAGTCATTATGCTCCTTGGATCTGTCCTTCACAAGCCTTGCCCCATGCTTTGCAGGCACACCACTACTCGTACTGGATGAACTGGGCAAACAGAGTCTCGCTGACACACCAAGCGTCCTTACCTACCTCCGTCTCCAACAACTACCACCGCGTGTCATTTCGCCATCTCTCTTGCGGTCTGTGCAAACTCTCGAGCTCTCCTTCCCTCAACGAAGATCCCAGCGTGCTCCTCAGTACATCCTACGAATGTCCCATGTGCACCGTTTTTTGAGTTTTATTCCAGAGCTCCAAGACTTAGTTCTTATGGAAACTACACCTCTTCGTGATGTTGTATTCGAGGAACCTAGCGAAGGACAGACAACGGAAAATCGGTTCGTCGTTGTGGACCCGCTCAAACTACATAAACTCAAAAGCCTCACATGGAAATTCGCCAATCCCCGCGACGTGTACACCTTCATGTCTTTCTTCGGCATGCCTGCTTTGGAACGATGGGAAATTTTGATCGCCAACTCCCTAACGAAGCGGAACGACGTCAGCATGCTTCGCGGCAATCATGGGCACGAATCAGATTCGTTCATCCAGGCAGAACGCCTCGGAGGCGTCCGATCCATGACCGCGCTTAAGGAGTTGTGCGTCAGCTGTCAGGATGGCGATTCCCTCATTTCTTCGCTGCGCCAATTCTTCTTCCCTGTGCTCGAGCAACTCGAGCTTGCATATGCCGGAAAGTGCCCCTCAAATTGTGATCACAAACATCCTCTCCCGCGCCTTGATTATGTATTTCGCGACCCTCGTCTCCCCCACCTTACGCATTTCACGTTGTCACACTTTGATGTCTTTGCCGGGCACGGGAAGCTCATGCTTGGTTACATGCCAGGCCTCGTATCATTGACGCTGATATCGTGCACTGGTGTGGACGGCGTGCTAGACGCGCTTGCCGAGGCGTATGGTCGCACGATGGATGTAGAACGCAAAGAAACGCGTGGATGTGGTGTTAGAGTTTGTCCGAAGTTGGAAAGGATAGCACTTTGGAGCTGCTCTGACTTCAAATTCCAAAGCTTATTTGCAGTCGTATTTGCACGTGCACAGTCTGTAAGCACCAGCGTGCTCATGAAAGCTCAAAAGGACGTGCCTAGCGTTGCCTCTGCGGTCATGGGCCGTAAGATACTGCCGTTGAAGAAATCGCGCGTGGTGTCTCCACAGGGAGGCCCGTCTTCTCCCGCAAAGCCACATACAATGCAGAACTTTCATGGAGTGTCATCGACATTGATTCCCATCGAGGAGGCTTTACGCCCTGTTCAAATCGCCTGCGTCCATGTCAACGATTGTCCCCAGATCACCAAGGTCGATGCATCATTGCTGGAGGAGTTTGGCATAGTTGTTGTATATCGGTGATCACGTTCCTACGAAGCACGGTGATGAAACTGGACCTGTAAGTGCCCTCGTGTTTGATTTTCGATGCGTTCACTTACCCGGATGATCATCGCGGAAATTTGTTACAGAACTAAGATAATAGCCCTTCTAGCAATGTATCCTTTAAAGTAACTCCAAGCTCCGCATGCCAATCTTGAGGCTGCATATCATGTTTGCCGCAAGTTTTGCCACGCTATTTCAACCCGATTTTAGAAACCCGGAGGATATATGGTACACGCGAGACTGTTTTCTTGATCGGAGTGGGACAATGTTCCTTCCGTGTTCATCATGTTTCGTTATAGAGTAGGTACTAGCAAAAAAAGGGTATGCCATCATTACTAAACCTTGCAAGAGCGCAAGCTGTGGGATTTAAGGATCTCCTTGTCCGACATGATTTTATGGCGTGCAAGCGGTGCACATCCCTGTGATGCAGGATTGTTACAACAACGCCCTCAATGGGTTGGATGATTCTATTGGTCCCCACACACTTCCAGAAATAGGGTGCAGTCTCTATCAAAGAACTCGAATCTGAGCATTGCAGGCCACATAAAGGTCGACATACGTACTTCAGGGGCTACACCGAATTTAGTAAGGGCTTCGAGCACGCCTCTGCCACTCCATTTTTCGAGCTCGTTCACCTGGTCTGGACTGATAAAGGCTTGAGAGCTTCGTGAGGCAAATACCATTTGGGCGGCTGCAGCCCTAATCACCGGTCTGGAAGAAGTATTTCCAACGAGACTGGGAAGGAGTACTTCTACATTCTCTGATGTCCTGCTGGGTATTCCCGAGAATGCTGGTACGACCGGAACCGTAGCTGGTGGCGGATTAACGGCCGAACTGGACTGTTTAACTCCACGCCAGCTGGCCGCAAGATGAAATATCCAGAACGTTTCCATCTAAGGGGGAAGTCCCCGTCTATCGAAGACAATGTCCATGATTTCGGTGAAGAAACACGTACCTCTAGCGTTGTTATACCAGATACAGCGGCTTTGAGGTGATCGATCAAAGAAGCGTTATGATCTTGAAAAGACGTCTGTCTCCCCTGAGATGAATAGAAACTTTTTTCATATCAGTATGATGGAATGCGGCGAGAATATATGTAATCTACCTGTCTGTCGATGCATTGACAGCATTCGAAACTACAAGATTTTTGAGTGAAGGCGGCCTTGTTATTTCGAGGGCATCACGCAACTACCTTGGGAATGAGCGATAGCTTCATAAAGTAGTACCTTATCCGACTTACGGCGCTATGAAGGTCTGGATCTGCTGAGACCTGGTTACGTTCCGTGAGTAAACGGATGTGAAAGGAGCAATGATGATGCGAACGGGTTTGCTCAACCTGTATGGAACCCCCCAAGGATCGCCGGAAACAAAATCGAAGTCCACATTTCGGGTGCAAGCGACGCTCGATGCTGGCAAGACGAGCGACCCTACAGGAAGGTCAGTCAAGCAACCGCATGACCCCAACCTTCCGATACAGCCTGTTAGTCCGATATTTCAGCGTGATTATTAAGACCGTTCCGACCTTATTACAAGCATGTCCCCAGACAAGCATTCTCTGATTTCGCGGATAAAAAAATCTACATTGGGTGCGCCCATACCTATGCATACTATTGATACTGGTACACTCTTGTAGCAACCTGTGATGGTAAGGAAACCGCGCTCCGAGTACAGCGAAAATAACTTTGGGGAGGCGTCTAGCATCTTTCCGATAGACTCTGCCCGTGGCATGGACCCAACAGTAATCTCATATACTTATGAGCTGTTGAAAGAAGCGAAAAGCGCCTGACTTACAATTCTATTGGCTACCTCTCCTGCTCGTATACCCAAGTGGTACACTCGACCGTCCTCTGTTTTGGGGAAATCTAGATGGACGGTTGCATCTATTTTCAAGGGAAACCGGTATTTTACTCACTTGCATTCTGTACGCGATTCTTCATGATCGCAGTGGTGAGCGCTGAGTACTGAGTGATCAACCGTTGGCGACCGAATAACCAATGTCCGACACTCTTGTCACCTCAGCACGTGATATTCGTAATTTTCGCCGATACACGAAATTAAAACTTGACAATTCCACTTCAGAACTACGCCCGGGTCCCAGGAAAACATGCGGAACTATCCACATTGCGAATAGCTTGCCCTTAGTGCAAAGCGCCGAGCAAGATATGCACTGACTAAAATGGGGCACTATAGTTTACTGATGCTTGGTTAAGAACCGCTGTTCGTCGGGCGCGAACAAGCGCTACGGTTGACAGAAGTGAGTGGCACAGGCAGCTTGAGCTAAACGGTAGATATTGACATTAGATCCTTAAGGTGATCTGAAACGATGTTTCAGGTACTTTCAGAATGTCAAGTCAGTATGTTAATACTGGTCGTTTGCCAGTGGGCGCACACCTCTCAGCGTCAAATGCATGAGTCATCTGATATGGCTGACTTCTGACAGAACTTTCTGTACTTCTGCAAGGAGATATTCGGAGTTGTACAACCCTTTTCCCCCGCATGGAGATCAACGTACTACCAAGGGAACTGTCCTAGCTCGCGCCTCCGATTAGTGTTTTATACTTTGAAACCTTGTTGGCCCTTTGCTTATTTTGAATCGTCCCTTTTTTTCTCTCCTTTGACACGCCTTCGTGATATCATCGCCAGGACAATTGCGTAGATCGGAGCTTTGATCCCGCAACTTTCGAGCCCAGGCCTTCTAATCCTTATGCCCTCCTTTCTTCCAGCAAGAAGCTGTCTTGACGTGAACTCTATCCTTTGCGAAACTGATGCCGGTGAACTACGTGGAGTGACGATGACGGTCTTATCCATATTAGCTGACTAGTTTGTTTTTTATGCCGCAATCGGTGGCGTTGTCCTACGGTCTCCGAGGTTATTTGTGCTGTACCATAATCATCGAAGTGCCACGGAGTTGGCTGGAATTGCAGTGCTTTTCGCCGCTTTCCGTCAGAAAATACCTCGTCATCGTGAGTAGCCGCGGCTAGGTGTAACTTTAATTTCGATGACTTAATGTGAGGCAAGGATAACGCCAAAATCCAGCCACTTAACGATCTGCACAGATAATTCTGACTGTACCACATCCCGCAATGGTGCCACGAGAGACGGAGGGCAATCCCCTTTCGGTAGATGTGGAAAGTTGTGTGACTTATTGCGTGTCGTCGTGCTGGAGTACCGTCAGAAGAAGAAAAGGAAAAGGTACGAACACTTTGTGATATGCGCCTTCTTGCGGCATCACCTTGTTCCCACTTAGGCTGACACGGTGACTGATGGCGAGATCGAACTTTCTCTTGAAGGGCGATCATCGGATCGTCTGTTGAGTTCTTCAGTGTCGGCATCGAACACCTTGTCGTCTAGGTGCCGTATATTGGATCGTGATGTCCTCGAGAAGAGAATGTGATCGTTGCCCCTCCCTCCGAGTCAGAGACATAAGACCGATTCCCCTATCGTACAGTAATTGGAATACTAGACCATCATGAATAGTACTGACGTAAATCTTTGATAGCGCGGTGCAGATCATCACATCCATCGCATCTTTGGCTCCCTTGTTGCCTTTACATTTAATGCTGTCAAGGAGATAACCGCTGGGCATTTGAGTGATCAGTTGGTAGAAGTGACCAAGTACCGAATCCAGGTACAACTGTTTTAAATCGTGTTGAGATCTTCTCTTGCTACGAAGCGATATTAATGAACAACTACGATGTTTGAGTGCTATCGTCAGTCGTGACTGCATTTCGAGTCTGCAAGAAGAATTATAGTGTGATCAGAGGCTCTGAGCGAGTTATTGCAAACCTGGTAGTTTTGCCACGACGACACACATTCGTTGATCTTGGACTCGTAGTTGCAGTACACAACATGCGCAAGTATCCTATCATAAGTCACACTACATGAGAAAAGATTTCGTTATTTCAAATTTGGTCTTCTATCTGCTTCGCGTAGATCTGGCGATAATAGTCTGACCTTTAGCATGATAGCCCAGTGAATGTGGATCTGAACAAGATCTCCAGGCGACGCGTCTCGAGATTGCCGATATGACGCAATCCCGCACTGTCGATGGGAAAATAACAATCAGGTTCTCAATGCGGTGAATTTGTTTTGGATTGAAAAGAAACATACTCACAACCTTCAGAAAAACTGCTTTAGTATCCAGGAAATTTTCAATCCGTCGATTCGACTTCAGCAATTCAGTGCTGAAATCGTTCTATAAGTTTTACTCGTGCCACACCCGGCTTGACCCTGAGTTGGCAATTCCACCTTTACGTTGACCCTTGAGGCTTTCCTGAGCAGAAAGACACATTAGCTACGCGTTGTTCCTTGGATTCGTCCCAAAAGAGCACTCACAAAGCGGACTATCCCAAGTGTGGATTATTAGTAGGCTTGCCACAAGATGTCATGATCTTGATCGGAGTCAGAAGGTGCGCAGCAAATGATACATAATATGCCTGTGCAAGAACTTTAAGCAGAGAAGGAAATAGGGTACTCCCTGAACCTAGGGTTCACGTCGACAAGTTCAGCGGAAAGAAGCATGCAGCGTGCAAGGATAGGAAGCCAGAAAGAGAGAACCTCACGGCTGACCTAGAGCAGATGAAGCGGAAGTGTCCGAACCGAGAATGGAAAATGTGCAACTTGGGACATCTCCGAGTAAGCACAGCGACTGTCGGAGTAACGGAACTGACTTGTACACCCCACCGGTGTCAAAATAATCACGTTCAATCCTGTGCTTGATTGGCACCTGTGATCCAGCAGTGGAAGTAACTTCCGCATAGCGTGAAATTATTTCTCAGCAATCTCCGCCGGAGCAAAATGATCGAATGATGGTCCTCACATTTTATTGGAAAAAAAACAAACAATCGGAGGTATGGTAACAAAAAAGTCCCACTAGCAGACCAACCTGGGTTAACATAAGTCGTAAGGGCCTCGCGCTCGACACGAGTCATCGTGTCGAAAGAGGGTTTTTGCCCATGACTATAGCCATCCTTGGACAAGCCTGCTTTTGGGGAGATTCGGAGCGCCAAAAAATTTAAGGGTCTTCAACGTTTCAGGTCGCACAGATCTAGCCTGAATTGGCACTCGATTTTCTGGACGCATAATTAATGGCAAGTGCTGGATTCAGGATTGACAACCACGATTTTGGATATTTCGAAGCGGAGAAATATTTGAGCAGTCGCCAGTGATCATGATGAAAGGTCGCTATAGCCAGCGGCGCACGGCCTCAGTAATTGCGAGCCGCCATACCCGAGGAAACGAGCTCCGCGAATCCTGAAGGCACCACTAGGTTCACTCGACTTTTACGATCAGACTTAATGATTCTGCCTGTTCCGGTTCACTTCACCATGCGTTATTCCTTGGGTTCAGTACGTCAACAAACCTCTTCAAAACTCCTCATATTAGGAGCGAACGGGTCACTGATTCCAGGACCGTGGCTGCCAACCAGTCTCAGTCTAGTTTCAATCCCGTCTGGAACGTCACTTGCGCCTACAAAAGCAACAGTTTGTTCTTTGATACTATCCGAGCTTGAAACTTTTTACTCGCCCCCCCCATTACTATTGTTGACATGAACCGCTTCATACGAGAAGGAAGGCACGGAACTACCGCAGAATATGCCGACCCTCTCAATGTCTCCTTCCATGAAGGACTCGGAAGAGTTGAAGACCAGGGGTCTCTCTCAAGTTCGGAGGACGACGCTGGTGTCTATCTGTTCTATCAGGATGCAAATAAGATGGACGCAGATATCGACGGTGAGCTATCTTTTCGATATCTTCGCAATGACATATCTCACTCAAATGACTTCAGAGGACGTAAATATCTCCCTGACATCCCAAGCCTTGAATGCGGATGGCACGCCTAAGCGTCCCATGAATGCATTCATGATTTTTGCTCGCAGGAGACGGCCCCAAGTCTCCGCGGAAAATCAATCATTGCGAACGGGGGATGTCAGTAAAGTCTTGAGTCGAGAATGGATTGCTATGGACATGGTAATGTATTTTCTTCATGTTTGCGACGGTAGTTCTGACCTTGAGACTATTCAGTCCGAGAAGCAGTTCTACCTTGACCAAGCCAAACACCTGAAGGATAATTTCAATCTCAAGTACCCAGATTACGTTTACAGACGGAGACCGAACAACAGCCGCAAAAAGCGAAGAGCAGACTCCACAGGTGTGGCTGGAGACTCTGCTTCTACCACGGACTCGGTCGACGACCAGTCTTCCAATCATGAGTATGGCGAAATATCTCCTGTCGAATACCATCATGATTCTCAAGAAAGATACGAAAGTAGCGGACCAGAAGGCTGCACGTCCGCGGAGGCCACATATGATACTTCCTACTTGCCGCCGGCGCAAGCGTCGAGTTACCAACTGGCTGATTCGTTACCACATAATGGCCATAGTGGCAACGACATACGGACGCCGTACCTATCCTCTCACGGGCGCGTCACGCCTGATGCCGTGATGGGCCCATCCACATCCGTACCTCGCGGCGGATCAACGAGTACTGCTTATTTTTCCCCTTTCGTGCACAATACAACACATGCCCCGCCAGCTTCTTACCTGCCAAGTCAGATTGGAAGCGATGGGCAATGGCACCCTTCCAGTCGTTCTAGTCAAGACGATTTAGCAGGCATACCTGTCCAATCTTGGTCGCAGAGTGGTTCAGAACCATCTTTACACGCTAGAGATGACGTGCATCGTCAGTACCAAGTAGCTCAGGCATCACCGTCGCCATGGGGTGCTAGCCCCTCGGGGCCATCAGCTTCGAACAATCCATCGGCCCACTCCTCGAGCTATGGCTTTCCCACGCTAAACTCTTCTTTCTATCCGTCTCAGAGCAGCTCCCACAGCGTTTATACTCCCCAACAATCCCCTTCACAAATATCTGACATTTCTCACCACTACGGTGCTGTTGACCACATTCAAGGGAACTCGGCGGTACCCAGGCAAGAGGATGCATACCATAGCCGTCAATATTCCACAGGTTCTGCAATGCAGGCCGGATATCCGCAAAATAGTGGCTCAACGTTGCAACAATACCACACGCAATTTCGGAATATTCTTGCCCCGGCACCTTTAACACCTGTGCAGTCAATGTCGGTATGCTCACACACCCCATCAATGAACACAACTTCCCCCGCTGAACCGGGAACAGACACTGCCTCTCAACTTCAGTAGTGTGCTGAACCTTCTCGAACACCAGTAGAATTTGACGGATGATTTCTCCGCAGCGTAGATGCTCGATCATAAGGGATTCCATATATTTAGTTCATCATTTACATTCTCAGTTTCATCATGATACGGGGGTTATTAGTTCAGTGTTAACTCAGCTTATCTGCTATTGCCTGGACGCTATTCTTGCACTCTTTGCATATCGTATGTTTTTGCTTTGCTTTGTAGTACCTGCATTGTATATCACTGTCAAGTATCTGAACGTTTATCATACTTCTGCAACTCAACGGTTGGTTGATCATTGCTAATCACTGCCTTGTCCAAAAAGAATTAAGATGATCGCTCAGTGATTATCGACGTTTGCGAGCGCCGTGTTTCGAGAAGCGAACCTGGATGAGTTTTTTTAAATTCTTGGAGGCAATGATTTCACACCTGAGCGGGTGTCGCCATGATCCTGGATTCAGCTGAAAGTATTGCATTTTATTGTAAAATACATCGTGATCTATAAGTATAGGCATATCATGAACTTGGCATAACATATGGAGATACAATTTTTTTTTATCTAGGCCGCGATACGCGAACCCCGACCATCCTGCTAATACTGAGCTTCAAAAATGAAGCACCAAGATACGTGGTACTCCACAGTAGTATTATTCCAATTCTCCGCCACGCCATCGGATGGTGGCATGCTGGCAGATGGTCTCCGCTGTTCTGGTTCAACGGCAGACATTCCAGCGTATGCGGCTAGAAAGAAGCGGCGTTAACAAAGTATATGCTTAGGTCAACGTAATGGCAGAAACTAGAATAGGACGAACATGTGTCGAACACATCTTCAAACAGCCAGGCCGGTGGGTAGCCATGGCATGCCAATCCCGGTCTTTATCATGGCAATGGCGTAGGTTATTCATAAATCTGTCGGAGATAACTCAGAATCGAGGGCATCGTCCTAAACCGTGGATGGAGGAAGCACGACTTAGGCCTGTCGGCGATATGTGGGACTTGGTTGGCCAATTTCCTGATAGGACAGCGCCGGCGCATTCTTGTCACTGTGCCGCAAGTCGGATGGTAGGGAGTGACCAGGTACGGTGGTACCCTGAATGTGGCCAAGGTCTTGCTAGTGTCAATTCAGGCTAAGTGGTTCAAACTATAAAGTGTAGCACTACTCACGCGTGGTTCTAGGTCCACTTGAAGAATATGGTCCGAGTTTTCCCAGAAAAGCAAGAAAGCCACGAGGATTTTCCAGGTGTTCGTTATGTGTCCCCAGCACACCTGTTTCCCTGATAGGGCTGCGGAATCTTTTTTTAAATAAAGAAGTACAACACTGATCTACAAACGGGTAATCTCAACCAGCGAATTTTGCTGGCGCAAGGACGTGAGTAGCGACAGTTACGTCGTGTGAGATCGCTCACAAAGTGGGAGGGAGTGCCGTGGCAAACAGAGCGAGCCGCCCACGGTGGTTATAGAAAACAATCGGAGACGATTGAGCTTGAAACTGTGGGCCGAGCGCGGGAAATCAAGCTCTTTGGTGACCCCTGCATTCCGTAAAATAAATTCCACAAAACAATATGACCGCAAATATTCTGCAGCAACGTTAAACTACATCATAAGTAGGCCACGGCCGGATCGTGCTGTGGAGATACGCATGCACGCACCCTCATACTGATTCCGATCGGTTGTCAATATTTCCGAGAAATGTCCTATTTTGTCGGTGTTCTTTACCGCGGATTTGAAGGCGAAACACTTATCACGCATGTCAGTTGGTTTGACAAATATTCCATACAGAACAGCTTTGAGAACTTGCGATAATATTGGTTGCTTCTTGTGCGAATAACTTCATGAATCATAGCCAGCAGTGATTGCAGTGCACGTGGCCCATCTTCCAGCCTAACATTGCTGTAACCAGCATTCAGGTGATCTGATGGGACGCAATCACAATAAACGGCAATATGCATTGGGAACAACCCATCCAACCCTCTAAGACTGGATGAAATTATGGGTGAGCTAGCTATTACGTTCGGTCGTGGACGGATCAAGGTGGAGATATGCAGGTGCAACATGATGTGTCAACAGCTTTCTAAGTGGTCGATAAATCAGGGGACCCTATCCACACAACAAAGAATTGACTTACCAAGCCATTTTGGGGGTAGTAACGGTCACTGCAGGAGAACACCGCCAAACTCATCCTGCTTTTGTCTCTGCCTTGCTCATGCAGGTACCAACATGTCTCCCCATGTCCTGGCGACAAATATTCCAGCTGCAAAAACACTAACTCCCGTCATGATGCTGATGTTCCCGGGTAATTTTTCTGGAGCAGTGATTTGCTCTCGAATGAAGCGGGATAAAGCAGACTCGTTTGGATCAGCGATTTGACGGCGTGGAGGTGCTGTGAAGAATGCAGGTGTTGCGTTTGCTGGTGCTGCGCGACGAGCCATATCTGTGTTTCTCTGTGGTGCGGGTGCTTTGGGAATGAAAAAAGGTCGAGTGCACAGACGTTCCCAGCGGCCAGGCCGTCGCGGAGTTTGCAATGCTTCACTTAGTCAGCACACTAAATTAGCATTTTCATGTCAATCCATCAAATTGCGACTCATCACTCGACGATTGAGAGCCCCAAGGGCTAGCTAGTACTAGTAAGTAGGTCAATGAGTCAAATATCTTCTCTAGTGTCTTGTTGATTCTGTTAAACAGCTTTCCGACACTACGAATCCACTTACAAGATTTCGTTCGAACTCGGCATGTTGTCGGCATTTGAGAAGTCGGTTGCGCTCTGCCCCTATGACATTCCGATCATGGGGATGAATAGAGAGATTTGAAGTGCGCTGCGCATTGCATCATAAATCTTACAAATGGTGGGTCTTTAAGAACACCCCGAAATCACTCTTTCTCCGAACATCCACCTCCGAACATCTATCACATCATTATCATGTTTGCATCGCTTGTTCTTCTCACTCTTCTCCCTGTAGTTTTCGCCCAGTCTTGGCAGCAATACCTAGCTGGCCTTGTCCAAACATTAAACACTGATGGGCTTTCAACGCTGGCTTCTGCGAGTGCTGTATTAAACAACTCAAATAATGGGCAGCAAGTGGCACAGGCACTCTCTACGGGAAACTGGACATTGTTTGCACCCAACAATCAGGCTTGTAGGTACTCTCACATACAAACGAAGAATGGCACTTCATACTTGTTTTACAGTCAGTTCCTCTCCTATCAATCTCACAAGCAATCCAACATCTGTTCTGGATCTCCTTTCATACCATGTTGTATCCGGCAATTTTACCGCTCAAACCTCGCCATATCCAAAGATCACCCTTGGACGAACGCTGCTCAATGATTCCTCACTTGTCTGGCTGGAAGGAAATGAATCGCAGGTTTTAGCGTGGTCTAACGGAAGTGCTGGCCTATTTGTGCTCAATAATGGGTGAGACTTCCCATGTCTATTGATTCACTCTTTCTAAGTGGCATTTAGTACAACTGTTCCGGTAGTGAACAAGACGACCTATCAAAATATCCAGGTCCTTGTCATCGACTCTGTCCTTCAGATCCCTCAAAATCTGTCTGATACTCTCGCTAATAGTACTTACGACGTCACCAGCGTTGCAGGCGGGCTTTCATCCATCAATATCCCTACCACTAATTCGACACTGCTCGATGTGCTCAACAATGCTCACGGTATCACAATCTTTGCGCCAAATAATACTGCTATTGCATCAGCGAGCTGTATTGGCGGTTTACTGCCAAATACTACTGCACTGATTGCGCTTTTCGGGAATCATGTTCGTCCTTTGATGCAACTCATTTTGCTTGGTTTGACTCCATACCCAGATTATCAATGGCACGACTGTTTACTCGCCAGGATTTACGAACGGAAATAATTATACATCAGCCTCTGGGGAACCCTTCGCTTTCAGGACCAATTCCTCTGGAGTGTACGTGTCCAGCGCCGGCTCCAATTGGGCGCGCATCATGCGATCAGACGTTTTGACGTCCAATGGAGTCGTTCATGTGATCGATAGCGTTCTTCTCGACACTAAAGTTAACGTTTCCGCCGCGGTCTCTGCGTGCGTATCGTATGTCAGTAGTACGACATCACTCAATATTGATATCTTGCTTTTCCGATAGCTATCAATCGGCTACTTCAGTTGTCGCATCGACCACCATCGAGACCGGCCCGGTGGGCGTTACGCCTACTACTTCCGCTGGTCATTGAAAGAACCATTGAATTGAACGAGCCTCTGAGCTTGGAATATTATTGCCGAGACCAATGGGTATATTCAGTGGCATAGTTGCTCATCAAACATCTTTTTTTTTCGTTTATCTGTGCATTGTTTACCTCACAATTGTATTTTTAGCCTGCTCTAATATATTGTCATCAATTACTGCGAATGATTCAATAGAAATACTATAGGGTTTCATCTTTTTTAAAGTTTCTTTATCGGACAAGTGCTATTGTAGGAACGAGCGCCATGGCGATGCCCTGAGTCTGAGCCCTTCCAGGCCTGAGAACGTTCACTAGGGCTTGTTCCACGCCTTACCGTAGTGGTTTATGGGCATTGTTGCACTGCTGCTGAACGCTATACACCATCCCTCTACGTCGAACACGCCATCAATCCTACCATGAAACACTTATCACTGAAAGAAGCCTTGCTTCCTCAGCCTCCCAGTTTCGTGAAAAAACAGTCGTATGAGATTCACGAAATTCTTGGATCAGGGACGTTTGGAAAAGTCATGGTGAGATTTTGAATTATCGAACCGTACGGTCACTAGCTAGGCTGAGGCATATCTATCATCTCCACTTTCTATGTGGCCATCGTATCAATGATCTAATTACAAAATTATGCACCTCAGAGAGCGACATGGCAAGTTCCCCCTGATCTAACCGATGTTTCGCAAAAAGGGGCATTCCCAACATCGCCATCTTCTCCAACTGACCACACTCCCGGTCGATCTTCCATTCCTCTTCTCCATCCGCATCATATGAAGAGGTCCGTTTCTCGAGCACACACTAGCTCTTCCGTCCCCTCATCACCAGGAGGACATAACCACGTCGCAATAGTGAAAGAGGTTGCATTAAAGGTCATTCCAAAGAAGAAAGTAAAGGGAAATGAAGCTGCTGTCTGGGGCGAGATGGATGTCCTGAAGGGTCTTGACCACCCTAATATCGTTCGTATTTTGCAGCCGGACGTTTTGATGTGTGTCTGACCTCCGAGATCAATGTAGGTCAAGTTTTACGAGTGGTTCGAGTCTCGGTCCAAGTATTATCTTGTTTTTGAGCTAGCTGTCGGTGGCGAACTCTTTGAGCGTATACTGCAAAGAGGAAAATTTACTGAGAATGACGCCGTTGCAGTCATTCGGTATGCTTTATGCTTTACGAATTGTACACTCTTCACAATTGACGAATCGTCTCAGGTCTATCTTGTCGGGGGTGAAGTACCTACACGATCATGATATCGTGCATAGGGACTTGAAGTATGTTCTCCTAAACCGAGAATGTCGCATCATTGATTTGATACATGTACAGACCCGAGAATATTTTGTATCGAACGAAGGATCCGGATAGCGATATTGTGATCGCTGACTTCGGAATGTGAGGGGTCACTCTTCCTGAACTTATGTCTCAATGACGCCTTCATTCGAAGTGCAAAACATCTGCATTCTCCGGAAGAGCAGCTGCATTCGCTGGCAGGGAGCTTTGGCTACGTCGCTCCCGAGGTTCTTAACAAGCAAGGCCACGGGAAAGCAGTCGATATATGGTCAACGGGGTAAGCGCTTGTCTATCGCATCAAACCTCATGTTTATGATAAAAATTTGACGGTGCTAACACCGCGACCTCCTTGCAGTGTCATCGCTTATGTTCTGCTCTGCGGTTACTCGCCGTTCAGAGGAGATGATACAAACGAGATGATTCGGGAGACCACAGAAGCCAAGATCGAGTTCCATGAGCGATACTGGTCCAAAGTCTCCGATGAGGGTGAGCTGATAGTCGATGGCGTTAGCTGTATGTGTGCTAATATCAACCGATACAGCGAAGACATTCATTAAACTTTTGTTGAACCCCCATCCATCGCAACGACCTACTGCACAACAAGCTCTGAACAATCATGTAGGTCACGAGTTCATCATCCACGTAATTCTGCGTTGACGTCGTTGATAGTGGTTGACGACGCACAAGGCTTCTACCGAGCACGACGTTATCTCGGGTCTCAGGGAAAATTTCGATGCTCGCAAGAGGTGGCGTACCGCCATCATGTCGGCGCGCATTATCAACCGGTTCAGCAGACGACCAAGTACGGCTTCAAGTACAGGCAGCGGCGGCTGGGGAGAAGACCATGTGCACGCTGACGGAGGCGAGGAAGAAGTTGAAGAAGATACTGCCGATTGCGAGTTCCATGACGTGCCCGACGAAGTTCTGGCATCGCTCTCATTAGGTGGGATTGACCCAGGATCGAACGAGAACGTGAAAGTCATAGGGCCGGATGACAAAGGTGACCAGCCGGGTAAGGGGGATATTTCCAGTGCCCCTGATGTTTGTTTGACTACAAGTGAGTCCAGTGTGAACAGCAGGACAGCTTTTTCGTCGCTTGCCGCGTCTCTCTCGCAAAAGGAAGCAGTTCACTTGGTGGAACGAGTGGATACCTCGGAGTTGTACGTTGCAGCTGATGACGAGTCAGAGATGAAGGTTCCGGGATACCTACATGGAGGAAAGGTTCCATGGCGAAGTTCTTCCCCCGTTTCTGGTCAGCACATGTGGTTCGATATGCCGAGGAAGTTTTTTGGATTGTAAGCGTTATATCCCGTGGATCTTGAAGTCCGCCGTAAGTCATATGTGATGTAACACTACCACGCACAGCTTAATGACCTAGCTGCTATTCGATTTTGGCCGTTGTACATATTTATCACCTATGAAATGAAAAGATATATAGTGGCCAGCAGGGTCGATATGCCGAGGATGTTGTTTTTTAAGGATTGTGAACGTTCTTCCGTTCATCACGACCTCAGGCCATGAACGTTAACGTGTACGTGAGTATACAAAACTTAACCTAAATCTCTCATTTACCTGAAACTTTAAGACGTTGTGCTTACTATCCTTCCGGTGCAGTCGGCACCACACAGAAGTCGGCACTTGCACAAAACTCTCATTTCTGGCTACTTGAATACAGAAAATTTCACGAATATTATCCTCCTCTAATACACCTCATTACGAGGTGGAACGACCGCGATTGGAGTGGAATTGGGTGAGATAGTTGAAGTGCTTATAAAGGTGTCTCCTGCCAATGTGCCGTAGCGGAGTTTAAGTTTAATACTGCACTTTAGTCTTTGGTCCTTGGACAAACTTTGGAAGCGGCTTGTGCTGCAGACACCACCAAGAGACTGGAGCGGTCCTTTGAAGACGTCACTCCATCCGAACCGAGAGAAGAATAAGCAACCGGAGTGGAAGTCGGATCCAAATCTCATTTGTAACTCTATCATTCGCCTGCAGTTGGCAGATCTGTTTTCGCAATCTTCAGAATAGTCATCACAACGTACAAAGCGAGACTGTGACAGACATGGTACGTACTGTAGGTATTATCTACGATAGAGCTCTGCCCTAACGGACATTAAACAAGAACTATTGTCTAGGTGGAGAAGCAGTAATATGATTTAGATTATACAATGTCAGCAGTATTCCACCAGTCGGAATTTGAGGCTGAAGGCTGGTCGGTATGCTCGAAAACTGGACTACCACCTGTGGGAGTTTGGGCAGATGAGACATCGGTAGCGAAATAGATCTTGCTCGAACGAGACCGGGTAATGGGTATCGATGGATCCTCTGCGAAAGTGATGGCCTGCACGGGGAAGGTAAGAGAACTTGTCGAGCCAGATCGCGCACGGCTGGTGAACTCGACGTGCGCCGCGTATGGGACAGAATGTGACCGCAATTGGCTGAGAACGACGACTTCTCCTGAAGGTGCTGATATGGCATGATGTGTAGTCATGATAATACTGTCCACTTGCGAGTGAAGGGGACTAGGTCCGTAGTATGCTTGCCTCTTGAGGTTCAGAGTGATCCTTGACATCATTGTGACCTGTTGGCCGGAAATGGTCAGGCTATGCCAAATACGCACTTCAGTTCGTGCTCACAGTGAGACTATAGTGTAATAATGTCGGTGAATCGTTGTTATTCGCAGTTTACAATAAAGACTCACACAAGTTCAAGCCTGTACATAGTGTCTTGTAAGGAAACAGGATCAGGGTAAGAACGAAGATGTGCGTACTGTGCGGCAATATTTTTCACCCCCTCAGGAGCCCTAATGATCATGACAGTCAATACCAGATTTACGGTGCAGATGACGCTGTATCCCTGGTGAGCTCTGCTACACGGAGAACCTGACTTGCGCACCTGTAATACAGTAATCCGTCTGCGAAGAGAGTACGAATAACATGACCCGCCTCTTTATTGCGGATCAAAGGAAGCGTGCAGTTCAACGTCAAACCAAGGATATACGTGTCGTAGAGGAGAGGCAACCAAGCTGAAGCCGAGGCCGAAATCCAAGTAATACTGCCGCTGGCAAGTGTTTCAGAACTCATATATGCACGTCAGTTGTATATAAGGACATACGAATTGAACACCATGGTACAAGCTGTAAAAATGTGAACAAGGTCATCGTGTGCGAAAATGAGTAATCTCACAGTGAACGTTGTCTGTGTGGATAATGGCTGGGGGCTTTGTCATAAACTCATGCATAGCGTGACAAAGGTGAAAACATACGTCCACCATGACTCAATAACCACCCAGTTGCTACAATCCAAGCTAGCAGTAAGAATACAGCCAGCACAATGGCAGCCCGTTGATATCTATACATTGCAATGACTCTGGGTGCTCCACGATCAGTAGATGCTTTCTGAGAAGGGAACAAACTTCACCTCATCAGCATCATTAGCCCGACTATCTCAATTCCTATAGCTGTCATGGCCCCTTCGTATCGGACAAAATGCAGGCAACTTGGACAATGTCAACTAAATCCAGTGGTGCAGAGTGCAATGCTGACCTCTGCAGTCAAGTTCGTAAGATTCATCGCTGGTAGTGGTATAAAATATCCCAACTCACTGCGTAGTCCCATGAAGGTAAGTTGTATGCTAGTAGTAGAGGTCACGGATAAAGTTATGAGCCAAAGATGATGTCCTCACCAACCAGATTGACGATAAAGCCGAGAGGAGTAAGATATCGGTTCTGAGACATAGACCCATACATGTGAGGTTTCAACTGGCAGATATTGCATATACATATACATACCAGTAGAAACAAGTATACAACTAAGCAGTTTTGGTCTTTCAGATACTAGTGCATATCCATATCGGTGATGCAACTCACAGATCCCTTTACGGCCTTGCCAGATAAATTCAATCTGAGTATTATGTTGAGTTTCACTGAATCTGGTACAATTGCCGATGTCATACCTCATCTCCACTGGTAACGAGGTGGTCCCAAATCAATATGGTGAAACCTACGATCCCAAGATACTAAATCATAAGATATGTATGTCAGCCAGTGCAACAGTAGACCATCGTGAAGGACAACGTACGATCGTTTGACGGCTGAAAAGACGGGAATCAAGTATGCAAAGACGAACAATAGGCAAGCATGACTTACGTTTCTGTCAAGTCCTGACTGATCGTCTGCATTGCTTCCTTCACTAGTGAATGCACCACCTTCTACGGAAACGGCCTAGTCAGCCTGAGTAAGGTGTGCCTCAGGGAAGGTTTTAGGATTGTCAACCCCGAAAAGTTCGAGTCTGTATTGAACTATGGAGGTCGGAGAAAACGTCGGCCACCACGCTGTTATCAGCGCGTTTTATAATACTCAGTAGCACTGGCATGGGCGCTCATGATAAACATTCGTTCGTATGTGCGCCTGTCCAAGTTATGGCGACTATTGGCAGGTAAATAGGCGACTCGGATAACGTTGTTGCCTTGTAAGTGACGTCAAAATGTGTCACGGACTCCGGCCATCAGGCCTCAGGCCGTACCCGCACAGCCCACGAGTCGAAGTTCGAGTCTAATAATACTATCAAAGCCGCTATAATCGCCAGTTGATCATCTGACGTTGAACTTGTGAAGCAGTAGTGGTATCGCAGCGGTCGTACACTGTCCATACAAGCATCGCTGCGACTTTTTCGACATACAAACATGGCAGTGCTGAACGTCTGCCTTGACTGCAGGGACCGTACACTACTGACAGTGACTGATGTACCTCTGTCGTGCGCATTGCAATTTGGGTGCCTGCCCAGTGACAACCGCATCGCCTGTGCAAAAGCTTTGGTGGAAGGCAGTGCCGGTGACCTCACCTGTACGACGCGCTAGATACTACCCTTCCACTGCAATCGGCACCCCACAGAAGTCGGCAGTCACGCTTTTTCGCAGGGTTTGGTGTGACGGAATGTGACTACTTGTAACAAAAGCGTAACGTTTTCCTGCCAAAATGTGTGACCTGCTGACTTCCCTGGGGTGCCGATTGCACCGGAAGGGATAGTATGTATCGTTGGAAAAATCATGGTTACTCTAATTTTCCACGGTCATGAGTGACCCATTACCACTCCCAAATTGTTTGGATCAAGGTACGAGCAAAAACTTAGGTGAAGACCTCGCTCACCGCTCGGCAAGCATGGACTTACATAACAAGTCCATTATTAGTGGGACTCACAGTAGCTTTTGGGAAACTCGCTAAAGCTCGCTAAACTCGGGTCGAGTTTGCAGGAAACAGCGGCTGAAAAGCTACATAATACTCGGCGCGCATCGGCACAATAGCGGAGTTAGAAACGACACTTGTGCATTTTCAAAGGTTGTGATACACAAAATGAGTAAATTAGATAGAGTAGGCAATCCGAGATATGTACTTGTGAGGAGTAGTGATAAAGTAGATCCCCCCAAGGCGCTTTGTATTTGAACTGACGTATATCAATAAATTTGTGAAAATAAACGAAGTCCACTGAGATTAGGGTGCATGCCGTAGGTGGGGAGCACCGGAGGGAGCTGAATAAGGCTCACTGCCAGAGGGAGCAGGCTGAGGTTGCGTGCCGGGGGGAAGAAGCTGAGGCTGAGTGCCGGGTGAAGGAGGATGATGAGTGCCGGATGACTCACCTCCAGTGTGATTGAGACCGTTGGTAATTGTTTGATGCTTGACGGCTAGCGAGAGATTGAACTCCTTGTGCGTCTCCACACACTATGAAATAATAAGCATAGAGAAATGTGCAACTAGACAGAGTGACGTACCTTCTGGAGATAACGGTAAACATCCCTCGTCAACTTCTTGAACAGCATGCGGAATAGACCAGCGAGTAGAGGACCATCCAGCTCTCTCCGTTCAAGAGCAGCGAGAAGTAGTCTGTGGATCGTAAGATATGACGCCGAGAGCACGGAGAACTGGATCTTTGCCTTCACGTTGTCGATGGTGTCTGATGACTCCATCTCCAACGTGATGGTCTTGACGAAGATCTGCATACCGCCACGAAGACGGAGAACAAGGTGGAGTGAGGACGGCGATAGTAAAGTCTTTGTGCCGGAGGAGATTGCAAATGAGAGCCTGGATAAGAACGTGTGTGAATGGTGAAAGTAGAACACATTTGTTTGGCAGATCGTCGAGGGATAGCACAGATCTGTGGAGCTGGTGCACCCGTGGTCGTCGTTGATGTCGTGGATGTAGGTCATGAGGTGCATCTAGGCTTGACCTAGGCTGTGAGCTGGACTTGACCGGAAATTCCCGAATTTTTAAACTCCGCCGTAACCAACATCATATCAGCCAGCGCAAAAATAGGGGAATTGATCCCTCGAACCTCACTATGCCTCGTCCAAGCAACCGTGCACAGATACTGCATGACCTTGACATGGCTGCGCTTGCCGTAGCCAGGGCCACTTATGAGCACGTAGTGCAAGATACCTGTTCTAGTATGGACTCTCTCTCAAGCCCCTCTTCTGATTCGGAACTTGGCGATTTCATGAGCATCATGGCTATCACACCTCCTTCACCTATTTCACCATTCCTTTCCGACTTTTCTGAATCAGACTTCGACTCATCCAGCGATGAAGCTGATCGTATTACAGCTCGTTATAACCGCCTTCAAGACCAGATTGCTGCTCTCCGGGATGAGGTGGAAAAGGCACGTATACTCCACTGCCCTGACGAGCCTATGCCACGAGCCAGTCAGCTGCACCTCCTTGTGCATTTTGGGGAACATCGTCCCCACCTTTTTCGGCAGAAGCTACGTGTCGAGCCTGAAATCTTCGATGACATCCTGGATTTAATCTCTGACCATCCCATCTTTCACAACAACTCACACAATTCCCAACTCCCCGTCTCTATCCAGCTCGCCATTTTTCTCAACCGCACAGGCCACTACGGTAATGCCATAACGGTGGAGGATGTGGCCCAGTGGGCAGGTATTAGCGTTGGATCAGTTGTGAATTGTACGAACCGTGTTATGGTTGCACTGCTTGATCAGCATGATGCATTCATGAGTTTCCCTCCTCCTGACTCAGAGGATTTCCAGCACGCCCGGGAGTATGCAGCCAAAACTGTTTGCCCTGAGTGGCAGAATGGGATTCTAGCTGTGGATGGCTCCACAATTAATGTGTATCAGAAGCCTGGTTTTCACGGTGAAGTTTTTTTTGATAGGAAGTCAAGATATTCCCTTGGCTGTCAGGTGTGTTTCCTTCCTGTCTGTCTCCTGTTTGTAATTAAATTAAGTTATAGGCCATCATTATGCCCCATAATCTTCTTATAGTCGACTACGCTCTTGGTCACCCTGGAAGTGTCCATGATGCCTATGCTTTCAGGGCCACTCGCCTTTATCGAGAACACGCCACACTTCTTCCTGACGACCACTGGGTCTGGGCAGATAGTGCATATCCTCTGGAGCCCTGGTGCATCCCCCCTTTCAAGAAACCCCGCAATGGCAGGCTCACAAACAATCAGAGGACATTTAATTATCACCTTTCTTCAGTTTGTATTTTTTTCTGTTGCAGTTAATTTCTGATTTAAAATTTATTTAGATCTGAGTTCGTGTAGAACACGCCTTTGCAGCTCTCAAAGGACACTTTCAATCTCTTAGGGACCTTCGACGGAATATCCATTCAGAAAATGACCTTCGTACGGCCGTTCATTGGATCCAATGCTGCCTAATACTCCATAACATGATCATTAGGCTAGAAGAAGCTCGAGGATGGAATGAGGACACTGGTACAGTAGCATGGGCCCATCAGCAGGGCAGAGGCATGATAGATGAGGAGTTTGAAGCCCCTGATGGTAACCAGGTGGTTGGTGACAGATTGTATGATGGCACACCAGGTCAGGCTTCCCGCGTGAAGTTGATGGACCTACTACTTGATAGCCCCGCGTCGAGAGCACAGCGCCGAGAAGGATAGGGAACTCACACAATCAATCACACAGCACATAAAGTTCAACATATAGTATTAACAAGACCTACATACATGACATGAGGGAAGGGGGCAACAGGGCAACATACTATGATGATAGGTAGAAGAGTAGCTACAGGAATGTCAAACAACAGAACTAGAAAGACAAAACACGACGCGACACACAAATATAACTAAAATTGGAATGATGACATACATTGTGACAGCGCGCGAACCTTCAAGGCCCACCTGTGAGCTGGCGGTACTGGATCTTGAGGCGCAGCAATGCTGCCTCCTCAGCATGCGCTTTCGCCGACGACTCGTGCATCCTGGCCTCCGCTTCGCGGAGGCGGATCTCAGTGTCCTTCGCCTCTTGCGAACATTGATGGACGGTGGCGGCATCCATGCGCTCGTCCTGGCGCTCAGCTTGGAGGAACCGGTGTTTGTTTTCCTGCCGGGTGAGATTGAGCTTGGCCATGTACCGATCGTTCTTGAGTTCCTCGCGAGAGACCTGGGACAACTTCTCCGACTTGATACTCCCGATCTCATCGGTGATGGCGCCAACTTGGCTCAAGATGTCCGAGCGCGCCTTCTTCGACGGCCGACCCTTCCCCTTCTCAGAGCCCGCGGACTGCGACGTCGGAGTCGTCAACATCGAGACTGACGGCGTCGATGTCGGTGTCGACCGCGAACGCGAAGACCCCGACAGAGGCTTGAGCGACCCCCCGCTCACGCGTCTCGTAGGGTCAGGGGTGGCAAAGGCAGCGCGGCTATCGCGCGGCATCGTCTGCGGCTTCTCGGGGAGTTTGAATTCGGTACGAGGAGGGGGGGTGATAGAAGGCGATGGGGTGGATGGGGGGAGCTGGCGTTTGTGGGTGGACTGGCACCTGGGGGGGCTGTTGAGGTCCGTGATGTTCTCGCCGTAATCAGCCGTCACACGGGACCCAGTTATGCGCACGTCGTCGTCGTCGTCGTAGTCCATTCCCCCGTCCTCGTGATTGAGGGGGGAAAAGAGCTGGCCTTGGCCAGGATGAGAGTGGGGGACAGGTGTTTGGATGTGATGGGGGGTGGGCGCTGAAGGGTGGGCGCTAGGCGCATAGTGAGGCAGGGCGCTAGGGCCAGGGTGATGGACGTAGCTGCCATAGCTAGCGCCAAGGACATTGGAATGGGGGGCAGGCTGAGCGCTGAGAGGAGGGGGCTGGGCACTGAGATGAGGGGGCTGGGAACTGAGAGGAGGGGGCTGGGCGCAAGGCGCCCAGCCCCCAAACTGAGCACTGGGAGGAGGGGGCTGTGCGCTAGGCGCATAGCCCCCATATCGAGCGCTTGAAGAGGATGACGCACTACCGGCAGTGCTCACCTGCATGAGGGAAAAGTATTTGGACGCATGGTCCACCCCCGGGGCCGATGATATTGTCTTGAGGGACAGGGCTGGGTTCCCCCCAAGGATAGCAGCGAGGTCGTCATACCAGGAGAATTCCTCCAA